AACAAGGGCAAGGACAAGCAGTCGAAGAGGAAGCAACACGGAGGGCGAAAGAAACCATCCGGGGCGTGCTTCAATTGTGGCAAGGTAGGCCACTATGCGAGGGACTGCCGTTCCAAGGCAAGTTCCAATGAAGGTGTCCAAGACCAGTCGAACGTGGCGTTCAACGTAACCGAGGGGTTTTCATGTGAGAGCTGGGTCATGGACAGTGGGGTGTCGGCACACATGTGCAGGACGCGAGAGGCGTTTGAGGACTACACGGAGATGAAGACCTCACGCAACGTATCAAGTGCAAAAAGCAGTGCCAACCTGAAAGTTCTCGGCTATGGGACGGTGGTGTTACGGGCGTGGAGTGGACGCTCGTGGATCAACGCGCGCCTCGAGAACACGCTGCACGTGCAAGACTTGAACAAGAACCTGTTCTCGCTTATAGCCGTGGCAGAGCGCGGGATGACAGTCGTCATGACGAAGAACCAGTGTGTGGTGAAGCGTGGCGATGTTCCTCTGGCAACTGGCCGGAAGCAAGGAAAGTTGATGTATCTCAACATGGACGTGGACGAGTGCCACGTTGCAGAAGATAACCTGGAGCTATGGCATCGACGACTAGGACATGCATCGTTCACGACGTTGAACAGTATGGTCAAGGACGGAAGAATCGATGGAATGCCAGCAGGGTGTGGCGTTGTGTGCAGTGTGTGCGCAACAGCCAAGCAAGTGCGCAAGACTTTCAACTCTACGAAGGGCGAGCTGGAAGCAAGGGAGAGCAGACGCACGTACAACGTCGTATGCTCGGATGTGCTGGGCCCGATTACGCCAGCATCGGAGTCGGGGTTCAAGTACATCGTGACTTTCATCATGATGAAGAGTCGTTTTGTGACGATCTATCCGATGCGTAAGAAGAGTGAAGTGCCCGAAGCGTTCGCTAAGTTTCTCAAGGAGACCAAGTCGGTTCCTGGAGCTCATGTCAAGGTGCTGCGCAGTGACAACGGTGGCGAGTATCGCAATGCGGCAATGGAAGCGATCTGCGATGACAAGACGATCAAACAGGAGTTCACAGTGCCGTACAACCCCCAGCAGAATGGCATGTCGGAGCGAATGAATCGGACACTGGTTGAGATGACGCGCTGTATGCTTAAGGAGAGTGGACTGGACAAGACTTACTGGTGTGAAGCAATCATGACAGCGGCCGACATTCGAAACGTGTTGCCAAAGACAACCAACCCCCACTCAAGTCCATTCGAAGTAGTGTTCAAGAGGAAGCCTCGTTTGAACCACATGCGAGTGTTTGGAGCTGAGTGTTATGCGCATGTGACCAAGGAGAAGCACAAGAAGCTGGACGACTCGGGTGTGAAGTGCTTCTTCCTGGGTTACGCGAAGCAGCACAAGGCATATCGACTACTCAATGCCCAAGATGGATCGATCGTTATCTCGAGGAGCGTTACGTTTGCGGAACTCTCGCCAAACAAGAAGTCAAAGGACAACCGTGAAGGGGTAATCGATATCATCGGCGACGAAGAGGTCGAACAAGTAGTGGACGAACCAAGTGTTGATGAAGGCTTCCGCACAGCAACAACAGGTCCCCGTGATGAACCGACTCTAGATGAGCACAGCGGACCGACCCACGCAGTACCAACACGTGGATCTAGCACGCCGGGTAGGGACGGCGAAGAAGAATGGATGGTGCGACCGGAACGGAAGCGGTGTGGCGTGGTTCGATACCAAGACGAGTATCCGGGTACACGACGTGGACAGTTCAACCTGGACGACTTCGAGGACGATTACGACTTTCTCTTCTGTCTCATGACTGAGGATGATGATGGTGAGCGCGCAGTATCGTATGACGAGATGATGAAGAGCAAGTACAGGAACGAGTGGTTGCGTGCAATGGAGAGCGAAATGGAGTCACTCGACAATCACCAGACATGGGAGCTGGTTGACATGCCTGAGGGCAAGAAGGCAATCGGTTGCAAGTGGGTGTTTCGCATAAAGCGTGACCCAAGCGGAATTATCGTGAAGTTCAAGGCTCGCTTGGTGGCAAAGGGTTATACGCAACGTCCCGGAGTCGATTACACGGAGACGTTTGCACCTGTCGCGCGGAAAGAGTCGATCAACACGTCACTGGCAACTGCTGCTGAAGAAGACATGGAGGCTGAGAACGTCGACGTGGATAC